CAAGCACTATATAAATAGGTATTAAAACAGGTACAACGAATTTTTAATTTTAAATAATTATTTTTTTAATTATTTAGTATTTATTTATTTGTTCGTTTTAGATTCTGAGTTGAATGTTTTGTTTTTACAATGATGTGTGTTTTATTTTAAATATTTAAATATCTATTTGTGTCTGTCATCACCTTTTAGGACAGTAAGAATGTTGAGGTGTTTCCAGACATTTTCAGATTCCATTTTTTTTTTTAGTTTTTTTTTTTCTATAAATGTCAATAAAGTTGTATTTCGGGGCAAACAGCTTGAAAATTTAATTCAACGCTTCAGATATATTGTAACAATATTGAAAAATATTAAAAATACGTAGGGACAATTTTTTTGTTATACGCATTTAAATTTTAAAGTTTGATTTTTAACAGATACCTATCAAATTTAAAATGGAAAAATTGTTTTGTAGTTAAAACTTTGTAAAATTTTCAATTTGTATAGCTAAAGATACACTGATTAGCTTTTGTGAAATGTCAGTTCAATGATCAATCAATTTTATGTACTTTTGAGTAATATTTCATCACATTTCCTAGGGTCGTAGAGTTTTTTCTGGGATTATTAGTCTTTTTTTCCCGGTGATTTTTATTCCGAAATTCACTGTGCCCAAGTAACACCGGATATTCATAGGATTGTCTGTCAGTCTTCTTTTTCGTTTGTTCTATTAATAATAGATTTAAATATGATATAATTATTCTTTGGACGATGGTTTGCAATTATTTTTAATCATAATAATCTATGTGTATTCAAGTAATCATTCAAAAGATTATTCAATATGGAATATTCATATATATTATGGTATAGCTCATTTAATGAATATTCCAGAGAATATCCATCAGGTCATAATATATTAATATTCATTTTTTATTAATTGTTTTTAATTATACAATGAATAATCCAAAAAGCATAATCTTTGATACGTATCAAATGGGGAATATTCTATGAATAGTAATCTATTACTCGTTATCTTTAAAATATAGTTCGAATTAAACGACCGGGGATTCCCAGTTTAACCGAAAATTTGTTATCTGCGCTCGTGCGTATATGTGTGTGTGTGTACTATATGTATTTATATTGTGAATTGTGATCATTACTGATTTGCCAGTTGCTGTTCATTAACGTCAAAATTATTGTCATTGTTGCAACTTGCAGTATTATACACTGGCATATTATTGTGGTGCGTGGTAAGTTATTATTTATTATAATTACAATGATTACTAGGTATGTACACTAATTAATTTATTCTTTTACAATAATAATAACAAATAATTATTTTTAAAAAATCACTGCATATTATATAGGTACGTCATGTTTCATTGAATTACAGATAGGTACTACATGATAATATTGTTTTGTATTATTATTAATTATAATCAGTAGAGCTTTGATGTTTATGGTTAGGTATTGCTTAGCTTTTTTATATTAGTTACTTATGCCAAGGTAGGTAGGTAGGTGTTTATATAAAGTGAAGTAGGTACTGAACATATACCTATTAACTAGTTAATACTAGTTAACTTATTAGTTGATAGGTCTATGGTACTGAAGTACAACTCAAATTTGATTCATGCATCATAGGTACAATCGATGATAGATTACAAAGCCACAATTTGTTTACCTAAATTGACAATTTATAGTAGTACATGTTTCACAATTTATATAGTTGCATATTGATTGTTTTTATTTTTTTATTTATTGAATAAATTTCCAACTACAACAGTATTACGTTGTACAAAATTAACATTATAACAAAAACAGTTGGTCAAATAATCCAAGCCAATGGCTGTGTGGAGATGAGAGTTCTAATAATATAAAATAATTACCCTTCTAATTCATTCATGAAAATTGAATTTACATTCAAAGATAATAGATCATAACTATAGTAAAATATATTAACAAATGTATACAATAAAAATCTTAATAAATGTCAAATTGTCATGTATTATAATATGTATAGTTATTTAATTCAATATTATGATACTTAATGTTATGATTACCTACTATTAATTTTAAATTGCAAAAATGAGGATTTATCATAATTAATTTGAAGTGAATTATTATCCAACCAAGATTTAACATTTTTTAGGCTAATGCTCATTTTTTCATCAATACTATTCAGTCACTACTAAATATGAATTCTGGTATGAATTATTGATAAAAAATCAAATTAATTATATTTCATTTTTTTTTTAATAATATTTTTATTTTTATATTATATAGGAAAATGCACATTCTAAAAAAAATATTATTATTTTGTTCATTTTCTGTGGCCTTATATACTTTAATAAAATATAGTATTCTTCAATAGTTACCTACCTAAATATATTTAGGTAAAATAAAAAAAATCTATTTTTTCTTATACATTCATTAAAAACTGCTATTTAAAATACATATTTTATTGGGGTACATAATTACTATGTTCCTAATTGGCTTCCTATACAAATTTTATAATGTTTGATTTATTTTATAGTTATTCTTTGAAAGTGTCCATGTGTAAGTAACATTTTTAAATCTAAGTAGGTAATATACTTATAGGTACCTACCTCAATTTTTTTCTTAAAATGCCAGAGTTGTAATTTCATTATTTATTATTAGGGTTATTATTATACATAATCAAATATGGATTCTGAAAAACAATATGCTAATAAGAAAAAATGCCCATCATCGTCCAAGTCACAATTTAATAAAAATATAAGACAACAACTTCAAACTTTAGACTGTATTAGAAAAAACAATGCAATATTATCTAGTAACTCAACTATTAAATATACTAGAACAAGCATCCAAACTATCCCTCATTCTAGAGACATGACAAATGATTTATTTACTATTGAACAAGACATTCCCAATCCTGCTAGTGTTTCCAAACAACCTTTGCAGACGATCACAGTAAACAATGATTTAACTTCGCCTAGAATTATTTCAACTGAATTAGAATCCAGTATACCAGAAAATTTTGAAAATAATTTGACAACAAATGCAGACATTCCTGATCAATTGCGAGCATGGGCAATAAGAAATAAAATTACTCATGTTGCTCTACGCGAGTTATTGTTTATACAAAAGCAAATACCTGAATTGAGAACTCTTCCAAAAGATCCCAGAACCTTTTTGCAAACACAGAGAAGAACTATTTTGCGTGACATTAACCCAGGAAAATACTATCATTTCGGTTTACAAAATGGCATTGTAAATATTTTGGAAAAAGTTGATCTTTTAAATATTCCTGATGTGATAAATGTTGGTATAAACATTGATGGATTACCTCTTAGTGATTCATCTTTAAGCCAGGTTTATCCAATTTTATGTTTAGTTACTAATGTTAAAATTTTATTGCCTTTGAATATTTTTTGTATTGGAATTTATCACGGTTACGATAAACCATTAGATTTTAATCAATTATTGGAGGAATTTGTAAATGAGGCTGTTAATATGACTTTAAATGGTATATATATAAATGGTAAACATTTTAATTTCAAAATTTCCATGTTATTGTTTGATGCTGTTGCTAAAGCAAGTGTACTTAAAATCAAAGGCCATAGTGGATATTCATCATGTACAAAATGCACACAGGAGGGAGAATATTTAGACCATGTGATTTTTCCAGATATTGAATTTATAAAGAGGACTGATGAAGATTTTGTTAATCAATCTGATCCAGAACACCACACTGGTCATTCTATCTTACAACAAATTCCTAACTTAGGTCTAGTAACTGATGTTCCTCTAGATTATATGCACCTGATATGTTTAGGTGTTGTTAAAAAGCTATTGGTCAACACATGGTGTTTTGGGCGGCCTCCTCATAAGTTACAATCGAGTACAGTTGAAAAAATATCAGAAACATTATTGAGTTTAGTAAGATATATTCCACATGAATTTGTAAGAAAACCAAGACATATCAAAGAGGCTAAAAGGTTTAAAGCAACTGAATTTCGTCAATTTTTATTATACACTGGTATAATAGTTTTAAAAAATAATTTAGATAAGAATAAATATGAACATTTTTTAACATTGCATGTTGCTATACGTATTTTATCATCTGATGTGTTGATGAAAACTATGACTGACTATGCTGAAGAGCTATTAAAGCATTTTGTTCTGTCTTCAAAATTAATCTACAGCCCTAAAATATTGTCACATAATTTCCATAATTTATTGCACATCACTGATGATGCCAGAAAATTCGGAAATTTAAACTTGTTTAGTAATTTTTCGTCTGAAAATTATCTTCAAAAAATTAAAAAACTGTTAAGAACTCATAATAATGTACTGTCACAAATTGTACATAGATTATCAGAAGAAAATAATTTACATAAATTACCTATTTCACATAAAATAAATATTGGAAGTTTTAGGTGTGCAAAAGAATATAATAATGGAATTTTAGTAAATGATACTTCAGACCCTCAATATAAAGAAGTAATTTTTACTAATTTTAAACTTGGTTTAAATCTACAAGATTCTTGTTGTAGATTAAAATGCAACTCTGTTATTGAAATTGTAAATTTTGCATATTGTCATAAATTGAAAGAAGTGGTTGTTATTGGTCATATATATAATAATGTGTATGACTTTTATACAAAACCTTTGTCTTCTTCAATAATTGGAATCAATGTTGTTGGTAGTTTAAATGAAAGTTATTCATATTGGCCTTTATCAAAAGTGCATCAAAAATTAATTCGTTTGCCTTATAAAACTGAATTTTTAGTAATTCCATTGCTACACACATCTGAAATGCTATAATAATATTTGAAATGCAATTGCAAAATTAATTTTATACACTTGTAAATATTGTAAAGAATTATAAAAATTTTAATAGGCGTTTTACCATTTTTTATTTTTTTTTTACTTATGATGAATTGGTTTACTAATATTTATATTTTATATAACTACTATAAACCATTTAAGATCTACTATTATACTTAACCTATATTTTACAAAATGAATTTCCTAGATAGAAGATGACTGGTTGGTATGTGGTGAAATTCACCAAGGAAAAAAACCTCATTGAAGTTATTCCCAGTAACTGGATACACAATTTTAAAGAATGCTTATGGCCCGAAAAACTGGGAACTCTAAAATTGCAAGCGGCAATTAAAAATAGGTCAAGACCAAGCGATGATTGGAAGTTACACCCAATTAAAGTGATATCCAAACAAATGTATTCCAATTATAGTGATGCTTCAAAATGTGCTGACAAAACACTTGCTTTAACTTCATCAGCCTCAGAAACTGAACTAACTCAAAATCAATCAATTAACAAACGAAAAAGAACTTGTATAAAGCTGATAACTATAATGGATTAAGTAGTAGCAGTGATGAAGAACAATCAACAGATCATAATATTCCTGACTTTCCAAATTTCACTAGTAGTAAGTTAATATTGATATTTGATTATACATTATGTCAACCTTATAACATCATACTCATTATTCTATCTCTGGTTAAACCTGTAATATTTATGATACATTTTCTATTTAGAAATTTCAGTTTTTCAGGAAATAGATGGAGACATAGTTGAAGAGGGAACAAAAAGCAATATATATAACAACAATTACCATAATCAAGACTCATTTGTTAACAATACCAATTCACTGATAGAACAACCAGACAATTTAAGTAAGTGTTGTGATCTTATATAATCTAGCCAATATTTTATTGTGTTATAATATTTAAAATATGATATTCTAAATATAAATTTAATATATCATATATATATATTATATAATGTACAATTTTAGCAGGTACTTTCTGAGTTACTGTATATCTAAATTTTAAAACAACTGTTCATGTATATTATATTTAGTACTCATTAAATATGAGTAGGTAACAGATTGAATATATTATTAAATATTTGTAAGTACATACTATTAAATTGTAATGTGTTCCAAAAGTTAAGATTAAAATCATTGGTTGTAAAGACGTGATCAGAGTGTTACTCTGCCATACACTATGATATAAATATGAATTAGAGTAAATTAAATTGTTATGTTATCATTTTTTTCAGCTGTATGTCAGTCAGAAGAGAATGAAGACTTATTATTGCAAGAATTGGAAGCTGTTACGGATGTTCAAGATGAAAACTCATTGTCTGTACATAATGAATATCCCAGTTCATTATTGGTTGAAAAGAAAGATTGCGATTCAGGTAAACTTGTATAGTTTTTTTTTTTTTTTTAATAATGCCATCAATTAAACTATAATATAACTAAATAAAAATAGTGATTAAATGAAACAAGTTTCGATACTTTATATGAAACTTAAAAATGTAATACAATTTATATTATAGTGAAATAGTATGTGCTATAAACTATAATACAATACTAAATTATAGTTATGTAATGTTTCACCTATTTAACATTAAATAGAAGTACAAACGCAAATCATGAGGCAATTAGTTACATTGAATGCCAGGAGTAAAGAGCACGGCGAATATTTGCACACCATATTAATGATTTTGAATGACATTCAAGAAAAACAAAAATCATCGGATAATCAACCTGCAACTCCCTCGTCCATGCTTGAGTTTGAACCGATATATGAAACGCTTCCAGTAACTAATGAAGAGTCCTTAAATTTATTACAACAGGCTCTTACCAATGATCAGACTCTGTTTAACAAAACTGTAAGTATTTGTTAAGTATTAATTATAAAATATAATTTTTAATACTATCTTGTTCATTAAAACATAGGTAAAAATGTTGTCCTTAATTGGAGGAAGTGACATTAAAGAGTCAGTGAGGCGGATATTAAGAAAACTAATATCAAATGATTATGCCAAACAGTTTAGTTATACTGGTCACAAAAGCTCCAAACATGCATTTAACAAAACAATTTTGTCATCACTACTTATAAGTATGTAACTATTTAATTAACTTTTATTATGTACACAGTTTAATATTTCAACAGGGCCACAAAACATTGAAAAATTGAGACATTTATTTACTATTCACCCTATTCAATTGAAAGCTTATACCTATACTATATCTCTTAGATTATAATTATTTTAAAAATACCTACATAGTTTTCTTCAAAATACATTGGTTTAAAAAAATAACTACTCATTATATTGTACTAGTTTCAAAGATGAGAAATAATAATAGTTTAGCTTATTTTATCAACCAATAATAAGTTATAATGTACATGGTAATTGGTAAATCTGTGTATCTGTATGTGTGTGTGTGTGTGTGTGTGTTTATTTTGTTGAAATTTTAATATTTTATAATTATTATTATTATACTCCACCAACCTGTCTAAATAAAATAAATGCATATTCAAATGTAATATTAATTTGATGAATGTTAGGTTTTTTTTTGTTGAACTGAAATTGACATATCAAAGATGCGCAGTCGTTCCATAATATAATTTTACACTAAATTCAATTATTTAGTAGGAATAATAAATATACCTACCTAAAAAATCTAAAATTAAATATGAGATAGAATTTATTTTTTAAAAGTACTTATTATTAATATACACATAATTTTTTATACTATATTATTTCTAAGATATTGTTTAAGTTTTTATATTTAATATTTGAATGCAATTACTAATTTTACTAACCCGCTGATAAATTCAAATTACTTTTAATTAATAAATATATAAAATAGTTATTTCTAGTTCTTATTACTAAAAGTCTATTCAAACTAGTAGATTAATAACTAGTCATTTTAATATATTTGAATAATTCTGTATAATTTTTTTAAATAATAATAAGTTATTGTTATGATAGGTTGAAAATGATTATACATTTATACAAATAAAATATAATGCAAATTTGAGTAATGGTATTATTATCTTTGTTTTATTTTAGAAGCTATACATTCAACCAGCAATTTGGCTGATAGATCAGTCAAAGAAGTAGAAACAATAACAAGCATTTGGCTGAGCAAAGCCAGCGAAAGGGCAAAAAATAATAACTAGGTTTAATGTATTTAATATTAAATTTAAATAATATTTAATAATATTTTGTTTTGATTTATATAATATACCAAGTATAATAATATGAATATTAATTTTTTAACAAATGTTTTACCTTTTTTTTTTTCTGTTTGAACCGGCGGTTATTACTTAATATTACTTCCGCGGCGTCGCCATCGTTTATTGAAAACAGCACACAACGGCCGATGGCCAAAATGAGGGTAGGTGGGACAATACCCCACCTAGCCCCCTACCAACAAATGTTTTGCCTAGGTATTTTAATTTTTATGTTGGACTACTTGATAGGGTTTGAGGTATTGATTTGTCTAAACTAAATACTGTCTCAAAAATGTTTAAAATTAATTTTTTTAAAGTAAAATATTAATAATAAAATAAATAACATAATATGTCAAACCATCAAACAAATCATCCTCTAAAATGTTTGTATTAAATGATTTTACTCTAAGATAAATCAAAAACATAGAAAACAATTTTACAATTTTAATGCGTTTCATCTATGATTCTGTTCTTATATATCTATCTGAGAGAAAACACATATTGTGGTGACGTTCTCTCAATTTTAACATACAATTATAATTTTGTTACTTGGATAAAGTGGAGGAACCATGGGGTCTGAGAGGGGTTACTTTTAGAAAGTCTTAAATTACTAGGTATCTAGTCAATTAATTTAATTTATTAATTTAAGATACATTTGACAATAGATTGTTTCCATAACTAAACTATATAACAAATCACTCACAATTGCATGTTGTATAACACTAATTTTTTTATTTTTTGGAACGTAATAGCTAACAGATGAGCCCCTCCCCCTAAAAAATTCCTAGATAGCCACTGCTTGGATATTCTATGAATAAGAATAATAATGGATTTTTAGGAATATTCTTTAACTATTGGGTAAGAGTCAATTAGTATTAATCATTTATTGTTATTTGGTTGCTCAAAGAATAACTATTGGATGTCTCATTCAAACATTCATTGGTTATTATGGTAACAATAAATTACGATTATTCCATTATTATTAAATGAATGATTTAAGACACGATATGGATATTCTTGTGGAAGATTCATAACTTATTCTGAATAATTGGAATATTCATAGCATGCCTAAAAGTGGCTCGTTTGTGGATTTTGTAACATTCCATGCTCATTCGTAGATAATGAAATGAAAAATGAAGAATAATCTATAAATATTCCTTATATTCTTTTCGAATATGCTATTAATATCCTATGATTGTCTATGTGTTACTTGGGTGTGTACATTAAAATACCATATACTGAAAAATTATGTATAAGAATCTTAACAAAATACCAACATAAATCGTTTCTTTAAAACAAATACAGGCATACAGCTAATGATATTTACTATATTTATTACAGGTTTTTTCCCTAATTTGTATTTTTGTTATATTATATAACTACATAAGAAAATAAGTACCTATATACTGAGAAATTTTAACTTTTAAAACTTCTAGTAACTAATAGATCCACTTTGCTGCCAGTAAATATATTGTAGTACTTGAAGGTTGAATATTTTTTTTTTTTGCTTTATAAAGTGAATACACAAAAAAAAATTATGTGGTCAATATAATGATTAATGAATATATCTGAGTCGTTTGAAAAATAAAATAATAATAATAATACACATAATATCGTGTCTGCCGTGTTCGACCGTGGGCGTGAGCTACCACCGCATATTCCCCTGGTACAAAATCTGACGCTCAAACGTATCTTTCGTTTTAATTTTTTTCAGATCTCTCCCGGGTGCGATAATGACTGGTATCGACAATGACCGTCTGTCATTGAGTATTGTAATATAAACTTTTACATTAATATAAATTAAATTAAAAATAACCCAATTAAATTATGAACGACGAGCAGGGAAAATATGCAGTACCGGATCTTTTGTTGGGGGTTGGGGTGATCCGGGGGCCCATGCCCAGGCTGCTTATCATAAAGGGGAGCTAATTTCAAATTTTAAACTCTTATTATTTTATGAAAATACAAATGCAATTTTTATTGCTAACTTTTAAGGTCGCTAATATTGTGTTTTATAATTAGTACATCCAGCACTGAAAATATGATTTTGTATTATTATTATTATTGTATTATTGTGGTTATTATTATTATTCTATTATTGTGGTTCTTATTATTATTATTATTATTATTATTGTTACTACTATTTGTATTATTAATATTATTTTCAATATTGTACTATTATATATAATATATTGTATCTGGATCTTACGATCCGTTAGAATTTTAAATAAATAAATAAATAAATAAATAAATATGCATGAAACACGTCCAAAACCCGTATGGACTAATTGTGATTAGATATTATATTAGTTTATTGATGTACATTATT